ACAGTAAGTTTCGGTGACCATAGAATGTATTTATTTTACTGTTCACTAAACCAGAGAAAAGATGAGCTCACGTTAGTATAAAAGATTGTCCCTTGTGTATATGGTTGGTGTCCAAGATGATCGTTCATAAGCAATGATAACAAACGCAGATGGAGATAGGCCGCAGGTTATTTTCTTCTCATCCTTCTTGGTCGAAATCACTGAATTTGAGTGCTATCGTGTCCTTATTTGCACAGTGCATATGTTAACACGATCAATAACTCTATGCAGTACGTTGTGCATTTATCAAACGTGATTTCTCTCACCTTATTTATCATATTGCTTATTCATTCCGCATGCAGCTTGGAAAAACACAACGGGCATCCCTATGAGGGACTGAAAAAGGTTTTGGATCGAATATCCTCCAAATATGAGGTAGGAATCATGGTTTCACTCGTTCAGCCTCACAAGATAGATTTTTGTTAAAGTAGCAAATTGTTTAAGACACGAAACAATCGACAAGACCGACATGTGGGTAACCATAAATATTACAAGGTGTTATATTGTATAGTGCCTTCTCTGCCCCCCCCCCACCTTAGGTTGCAAATCTGCTGATGCACGGGATCAGTAGCCACGCAATCCATATATGTATTATCCAATCAAATGAAACTAACAGCCGAAACAACGGGCTTTACAAATTTTGTCTTTGTGGTCAACTTGGTTTCGTATACTGTTTTTCGGTTGCATCTTTGTTCTTAAAGTTTGTCTATTTTAGTTTGCCCCTTTTGGTTTGGATTAGCTAGTAGCTAATTTGTACTGGACAGTCAAATAACAGTTCATTGTTGATAAACCGTTCAGAGGTCCAGAGGGGTAACTGCATTCTTTCGGTAAATATAGTTAATTATTTTAAAAATCATTCACAAATTAGTCATTTGTTCTTCCATGGTTGCAGTTTGAGGCAATTTACTGCCAAGCAGTCTGATATCTCTTTATTTGTTTATCGATGTGTCCGCATTCATTATTCTCTATTGCTCCCGTGTCATCTTCCCCGGTTAACTTTAAAGAGATTTCATTATTCTTCGTCATAGCCTAACCATTATCAATCACGTTTCTCTTATTCTTATGAACTCTCGCATTAAATGAAAACGCATTTTAACTAGCAAGCTTATTTTCGGTGACTCATCAACTGACTAATACGTCACATTTTATATACTTTTATTTTGTATATAAAAGAGGAAACAACATTAAAGATTTAGAGCATCAAGCTTGGATCAGCCCATTCGATTGTTCAGAGGCACCAGGCACTCTTGATGGTCTTGGGTGTGGGTTTCACTCCTTGGGAGATCTCCAATCCAAGTTTGATACTCTAAATTGATTGAGCCATTCGCACAAAGTGATGACCATCGGCTGCGTAACTCAGGGAGGGTTAAGGGTTTGACGTCCCGACCCGACTGATCGCGGTTCGAGTCCTGCCAGGGACACAAAAGGATGCACTGCTGACGAGTCCTAAACAGGACGAAACAGCTGTCCAGTACTCTTTGTTGGTTATTACAAACATTTCCATCGCATTTGAACATTAAAGATTATTCAAATGGGGATTTCTTGTTGTTGTTGTTTTCTGTCTCAGTTTCACAAAACCGGATATGGTAGGTATTACCATCGGAACTTACACTTGGTCCGTGTTACTTGTGTGATTTGGGGTGGGATTGGGAGGGAGAGGTTGGAAGCATGAAACAACAACAAAAATCCCCATTTGCATCATCTTTAACTTTAAACAGAACTATGGAGGGGCGAACAAGCCATGTTTTCAGAGATTCGTTTTCATGCCAATACATCTCAATATATATCGGTTTGGTGCAGTGTTCCATGCATAGAAAGGCAACTTGGAAAGACCCAAACGTTCACTTCCGAAACATTGTGTCACTGACAATGAAAAGGAACCTGGTTCGTTCCCTAGCGGATAGGGCAAGAAGAATCTACAGTGAGGACACGCTAGATGAAGAGCTTCATACTATAAAATCGATCTTTGCACGTAACAGGTATCCGGAGCCTTTAGTCAACAAGATGCACGGAAAACTTTTTACAAAACACCGAGGTTAAGAAAAAATCCGTGTACACTTCTTTACCTTGCAAAGGGGACACATCGGCTGAGATTATACAAAAAAGATTATCCGACGCAATCGATAAGACTTTCTATGCATTCAAGATTCGTGCGTTGTTCACGTCCAAGCCAACTGTGTGTTTGCGACTGAAGGACAAAGTTCCAGACTCCGCGGTCTCATTCTGGGTATACTCATTTACCTGTTCCTTTGGAATAACGTACATAGGCCGCACGGCCAGGCGATTGTCCTGAACCGTTTCGTGAACATCCGGCGTGGCTGAACACCCCTTGCTGAAACAAATCACACTGTGGACATGTTCGAGGCTTTCCGACCCCTGTATAAAGCTCATGGGTGATTATCGAGGCAGGTTCGCTGTCAGATGTTGGCTACAACAGAAGCGGTGGACATTCGTCTGCACAACCTCGCCCCCGTGTGCCCAAAACAATTTGTGCAAAGCGCTAAAGCTTCCCTGGCCCACCCCACCCCCACACACACCGCATCACGAATAATCTCGATGATCGGATGAGTGGGCATGTGATCGTGGTGAATCCGATTTCCGGTCTCACAATGAAATCGGTTCTAGTAATCTGTGGCTTTATTTTAGTTTATTTTTACTGGACAATTTTATCCCCAAGTGACGATATATATTGAAATATGTAAAACATCCTTTTCCCTTTATCCATTTCATCAACATAAGAAGATACATGTGCGCAGAATTGATATTGGCCAACAATTTTGCTGAATAAGTTCAGCTGTAAAAGTACATTTATATGATCATGTGAAACGAAGAGGCATAAGAGTTGAAATGAGTCATTTGAACAATTTAGTGGTGGACAAGTGAGTTGAGTGATTTGTGTTTGGTCAGGGGTTGAGGTCCAGTAAGAAGACAAAATTTGATATGGGGTGAACGATGTGGTGAACGTGGTGGAGGGAGGGGGAGGGAAGGTCATGTCATGTCATGCTATGGTAGGGAGGTATCAAGTGTGATATCATCACTACCATGGCAAAAACAGCTGGCTCACAAATGTTTTTTGAACACATAATTGCAACTTCATGCGATGAATAATTATCGCTTCTAAGAACCGCTAAGTCCGTGAACTTCGAGGCCTCGACTCGAACGCTTTGGGTGCGACTACATGGTAACCGGAATCTAACAAGTGCTGGGCAGTCGCACTAGATGGTAATTCCCCTCCGCGAAGACCAAGCTGTTTGGGAATAGTTTGATAAATTCTGGTTGATAAGTGACGTTCTGTCCTTCCGATGTACCGCTGACCGCAAGTACATTGAAATGAATAGATGCATTAACGTCTTTCCGATCCAGATTAGTGCGTATGAGACAACGAAAGTTCTTGTAGACAATCATTAGTCTTGCGACGTTGTACGTCCGTTGGACGGCGTGTGTTAAACGTCGAGATATCTTTGTTGTTACATCATATCGCTTGAAAGGCAGTTCCATATAGATATCTTTCTTCTTAGCCGATAGGGAATTAGGCTTGACTTTGATCGGCTTGCTGTACTTGTGGATGAATGTGACGGGATAACCATTGTCTAGCAAAGCATGGGTCAGTCAGGTCAGTTCATCTGCCAAGACGTGCGGACTACATAGTCGGCGAACCCTAAGAAACAGAGTGCGTACCGGACCACGCTTGTATCCCACAAGGCAGAAACTCCTAAAGTGCAAATACTTGAACTTAACTTGCCCCTAGCCAAACACAAATCACCCAACTCAATTGTCCACCACTTTGTTCATATAACTTACTTCAAATCTTATATTTCTTCGATGCCGATGATCACATAAATGTGCGTTTAGAGGCTGAATGAGACCTCGCGAAACCGTGGGCCAATATCAACTCTGTCGTCTAGTGTGACCTGGTGACTTGACTTCAATAAGAATCTCCGAAAACGAGCTTGTTCGCCGCTCCGTTTGTGATGGAAGGTGGTACAAAGAGGGCCCCGGTTAGCGAACGAATCAAGAACGGGACTCATCCAACCAGACGCGCAGACGTAGCGACCGGAAGTACTTCGAGAGACAATGTTGACTACCACCCGAAACGAACGAATCGACAATTACAGCCCAACAGACGATCCGCAGATAGCCAGAAAGATATACACCGAATGCCACTACGTCGGAGCTGTCGATCAACGTATCTCACGCTACGATCGGGTCAAACCAGCCGAAACGGCACGCGGAAAAAGAGGCAACGTACGTGCCAGGTGCGGACCAAAACCAGCAGGGATTGACCAACATAACGAGGCATGAATCATCCTGCCGCGCGGTTAAGAATTGAATGTATATAATTGAACGCGTACACCGGTCGTTTTTGAATTGGATCAATAAACGCTTTCCAGGCCAGCTCGCCTCCCCGCTACAGTAGTGCCGTCGCCCAAGTCAGAACGACGCAATGAAGGTACCTTGGCCAAACGCGTTTGCAGACGATGTGGTGAAGTGAATGCGCGATTTTGAATTAGTCGCATCACGCAACGGCATCAAAGGGAGTGCGCATCTGGTCACCGCATTGGGTGCACTGCTTTCCAGACGAGCAAGAGCCGCTTGCGATTTGAATTTGGAAAGCAACCAAGCCCTGGATTATGGGAATTTGAAAGCTGCATTGGTGGCAGAGTTTTCAGAGGGGGGGGGACCGCGAGAAGGCAATGAACCGGTTCTACGCTGCGGAGTGCAACCAAACTGAGGACCCGCTGGTGCACTATCAACACATAAAGCGACAAATTTCTGTGGGCCTACCGGAGGCAAACAATGAAACACGAGAGAGGCTTGCCAAAGACCGGTTCATACAAAGCATGCCGGCATGGACGAGACAAACAGACTTGCGGTGGCGTGCGAGGTGAATAATGCAGACGGCCTAATTTCGATCGCGCAAGCCTGTCAACAAGATGACGTGATTGCTCGGGTGGATCCTGCCGAGACTAAAGATAAGATTGAACAAATATTAGAAGGAATTGGGAGACTGAAGGAGGAACTCAAGGGAGGATCACAAGAAAGGAGACGTTTCAGGGCTCAAGTTCGACCAAAGCGGTGTTTCAGTTACCACGGTATAAGACATGTTGCCCGTTTTTGCCCAAACCACCATATTCGTTCGTTTCTCTCTCTGCACACTGACACATTGTTTACTCACTCCGGGTAGCATACCCTCAACCGCACATACGTTCACACTGCACGGTTTCAACGGAACTCCTTCCACAAGAGGTATAATGGAAATCCCGGCACCCGTATCAATAACAACCTACTTTGACCGTCCCAAAATGAAAACTTCGAACCTTGGAAGCCCACGGGCAGTCGGATTAGAAGCAGAGAAACGAACGGATATGGTGGTTTGGGCAAAAACGGGCAACATGTCTTATAC